TTATATGGATATAATTAGTTAATGAATTTACAAAATCATAGGTCACAATTTGACGATTAATTTTGAAAATTTATGGTAAAAGCATTTCAAAACCATTTTAAGCATCCGCCCTCAATTGAAATCATTAAATAAAGCTTGACTATAGGTGAAGTTAAATTTATCAAATTCAATGCAAGTTTAGGACATTTATATGTAATCCCTTACTTTAGTTTGCATGCTCATCATTTAGGCACTTTGGCTTGCATTTGGGTTTGGTTAACTCATGTTGTGGTGTGTGTCCTCTTTTTCATGACACTTCAAAGTTGATGATGTGGGGAAGTTTGTTTTGGATGAATCTTTAAGTATTTGGGTTATGGGTTAAGCAAAATACTTAAAAATTCACCCCTTTCTAATGCACCTAGATTTAGGTCACTTGATTGAATGGTGTGACTGATTATGTTAATATAAAGGATTAGAGAACTCTGATTTCAAACCTATATAACTTGGTGACATGTAAGGACAAAAATTAAGGAGAACTCTAGAAGTTTAGAATGTGAACCTAGTGGCATTAACTACCTGAGGTTAAAATTTTATTGGATGTAGTTCCCATTAAGTTAAAATTTAATTAAGTTAATATTCAACAGTTTAATTGAGCCATAGAATTTAAAAAATCACAATTAATCAAAATTAAATCCAAAATAATACATCAAACCCTTCATAATTAATCCCTCTACCTTGAAAAATTAAAAGCCTCATGATTGGACCTTTAATTTGAGCTTAATTTAATTTTAAAGAAAATTTAATATTTAATTAAATTAAATATTTAAAAATCATTAAAAATTTGAAACAAATCTCAAACACTTAAACACACTCCCATATGTCTTCTCTAACCTTTGAGAGTTATTTCAAGAAGTTTGGAATAAGCTTAAAGTAAAATCATCAAAATCTCCTTAATTAAGCAATTTAATAATTCAATTAAAAACTTAAACTTGAAAATTTATAATTGATTCTAAGAAATTCTAAATTCAGCTAAGAAAAATACATTAGACTCATTTAAAGGTCTAATATTTATTAAAAATATCGAATATCTAGAAATTGGTGAAAGCCAAAAGTCAACTTTAGTTCAAAAATTTGTCAAAACTTCAAAAAATCATAACTTAATCTAAAAAATTCTAAATCCATCAAACTTAGTATTTATTTACTCATCTTAGAGTCTATTATTTAGAAAATATGTCAATTTGATTAATAAAAAGTCAAAATTCCCCCTTAATTTTATAAATTAAATAATTTATAAAAATTCTAAATTTCAATAATTGATTAAATTTTTTAGAAAATATCAATTTTATTAATAAAATCAGTTTACCAACACCCAAACATATAACAAGTACTCTAGCAATGAAGTTTTTAGGATAAATTACATTAAGCTGCGGGGCTACGTATCCTATGAAGCTTAGTTCCTCAAGCCCATTGTGACAACGCCACGAACAGATTAAATAGAGTGTAAAATTTTAAAATTAATTTATTATTAATTATTTAACCAAATTTAAAATTTTAATTCAATTACATCAACTTTATTTTTAGGATGAACAACTTTGAGCTTCAAGACTACGTGTCCTAAGAAGGACTGGTTCTTCGAGCTCACTATGACAACGCCATGAACCGGTTGATGGAAAACATAATTAATTTAATTATTTTAATAAGAAACCAAATAATTTAGTTAAAAATCACAAACTCTTAATTTCAACCAATTAAATTACTTAACAATATTGCAACATTGGTTACTATTAGGTAACCTAGGCCTACGAGATTATTAACTTAGTCCCAAGAAAGGTGAAATAAACTTTTCAGCACTGGTGTAAAGAAAGGTAGTATTCACTTAACACTTAAAATATATCTTAAAATCAATATTAAAATACTAACACTTAAACTAAAATTAAAAAAATCCCCATTGACCGTTAACAAATTAAAACACTTGACAACTTTAACAACTAGCATAGGATACATTCAAATCATACAGCTTGATGCACAAACTTTAGATGGTTTATTAGGACTACCAATCCTAGTTTTAGGTTAGACCAGTGTTTTCCTTTTATGCTACTTATATACTAGATTTTTTGTGATTTTCACTGCATACTGGTTATAATTAATTGATTGATATGATGTTTATTAATATATTAATTTATTATGTAATCTGTAAATTGATGTGATGAGCACTAGATTACTCTTAGGTTAGGAACGAACTGGATGCTCATAAGATCTTCAACAGGTGGCCTTTCTCATATAAGACTAAATCAAGGGGACAAATTAATATTAACATACATATTTTATGCTGGTGTTAAAAATGCTAAACCCCTCCTCAAATTAAAAGGGCATTACAAAGTGTGACTATGTTTTTAATTTGGGCAAATTTAATTACATAACTGCTTGGGGTGTTTTTTTTATTATAATTACCTATGATAATCATGCAAGTTATTCTAGAGTCTTTTTTAATTTCCTACATGTATTTTAATTCAGTTGAGTTGTGAAAGTTGAATTTTAAGATAAGATATTAACCATCTAATTTGAAGTCTAAAGAGAAGCGAAACATCCCCTTAGGGGAGAGTTCCCTTAATTTAGAAATTCAAATTAGGATAATTTGAAAATCCAAAAAGGAAAGAAAACCCCTTTGGGGAGTTCTTTTCTATTTGGATATTTGAACCCAAAGAATTCAAAGAGCTCATAGAACAAGGGATGATGAAGAAGTGAAAACACAAGAACATCCAATTCTTAACATTACTTGCGTCATTTCTAGGATTAGAATTCAGGTTGTAGTAAGTAATTACCCAATAACTTTTAATATCTACAGACCCTAGGTTATAATTAAGTGACATTTATCGCTTCGACTTTTTTTACACTTGATTTATTTAATTTTGTGTAGTAGAAGTTCCATAATTTTTTTAGGTTTCTTACTTTAGCATGTAATTTTGATTTTTTTTGGAAGAGTTTAGGCTTTTTAAGAGCTAAAACTATTTCTACTCAAAAATAAATAATTTTTTTTGCCCAATATGAAAACTTAATTGAATTTAAGAAGTAAGCTCGGGTTTACCGAGGGTCTCATAAATACATCTTAATATTTTCTATTCCATGTTAGGCACCGCCCCGCCTGCGGGTTGTGGCAGATCACCTTGCCTATTAGGGTTCAGTTATGTCTAGGGGATGTTGTGCAATCTTTAGGGAAAAAAATATTTTCTAAGCCTCTTTAAAAGTGCTTCATACTAATTTTATATACAAGATCAATTAGCATGCATTGCATTAGAAACTAATAAAATCAATAATATTTTAATTGAATTCAAAGCATAATCACCCTACATAAGTAAATTGGCCAATTAGGACACGTGTTAGATGTCAAACCCACTTTCTTAAAAACTTAAACAATGTCCTCACCGATCTTTCATAAAAGACTGGACACATGTATTTAAAGTGCATAGTGGTTTGTTGGCTCCTCAATCCAAGGCAGAATAAGTCCACATTTGTATTGCAATAGGTAGGTTTGGACCGCTATTATTTAGTGCCCAAAACAGACTTAGGATCCGGGGCAGACCCAAAATCATAAGACCTAAATTTCGGGAATATAATCCCTACATTATAATAAATTATCAACTTGAATAAAAAATTCTCTTCAAACCAAAATTTAAAATAGAACACATAAAATAGAATGAGGCATTTTCTAATTATTTTACAATCTCAAATTACCTCATACTCTTTCTCCATTAACTTCCAAAATAAGTACTCGAATTTGATCCAATCTCATTTGAAATTCTAACCTCACTCCTTCGATATCACACATTGAAAATCTCAAAAATGAATTTCTATCATTATTTTAATCGAGAATTTTCGTAAGAAACTCAAATTTTTTATGATGTAATTAACTATGAGGGTTTGCCCTACTAGGAAATTTAAAAATCTCAGATCAATTTAAAAAAAAAATTAAATCAATTAATTCTCCTTAGGAAAAATTAAAATCAACGACAACTGTTATTGTCATATCTGAGTAACTAAGAAAGAATGATTTTTTCTTCCCTGGGAGGATACCTTATTTATTGTTATGACATTGAATATGAAATTAATGACAACCAATCTAGATTATTATAGCTAAATATTCTATCGAATATCATTTGTAGTTCATTCTTGAATTTGACTACGATATTCAGGATGAAATTTATAATTTTAAATCTGAACCCATCATGAAATTTTATCTCTGACTTTAGAGGCGGTATATCATTTCCAATGATACGTTTGATTTCAAAATTAAAATTCAAAAGTTAGTTTTTAGTTTCCAAAAAAAAAAAAAAAATTAATTGCTACTTTTTTTTTTAATTTTATGTTCAGTCCAAATCTCACAATCTCAATAATATATGATTAATAAAGAAAAAAATTATTTTAATATAAATTATATGGGAACATCTGATAAATATTTTTCTCTATTAAATTTATTTTATTTTTTCTTGGAATTTCAGCGACTGTGGTGGTACGCATTCTACGATAGGGGTGTCAATTTCGGGTCACGGGTCGGGTTCGGGTCGAACTCGAAACTGACCCGGCACTATTCGGGCCAACCCAAACCTGACCCATTTTTGAAAACGGGTCAGTTTTCCTGACCCGAACCCGACCCACTTCGGGTCCGGGTCAACCCGACATGACCCGAATGACCAGTTTCCAACAAAAAAATGGCTAGTTTTCGGGTAAAAATGGGTCTATCTTCTCTTTTTCGGTTAAAAAAAGGGTGTATCTCCTCTTTTTCGGGTAAAAAACAGGTCAATCTCGGGTTGTCGGGTCAAAATCGGGTTTTCGGGTCAAAATCGGGTCAATTTCGGCTCAAAGGATTAACCCGAACCCGACCCAACTTTTGAAACTGGTCAAAATGTTGAACCCGAACCTGACCCATTTCGGATTAACCCGAACCCAAAATTTTCGAATCTTATTGGAATCAAATTTTCAGGTTTGACACCCCTATTCTACTATATTCTTCCCCTAAATTTTTATTTTTCTTACTCTTCCAAAGCCGCAAGCTTTTCCTATTGTTTCTCATTTTCTTGACCACCAAGTAACCAACGCGCTCCCTAAATGGCAGCGGACAAAGCAGCTCCGGCATCGGCGAAGCTCAAGATAGCCGGAGCATGGACTGGTGTTCTCGAAGTGCAATTGGAGTCATGGACTCTGCCGATGCTCCGGGAGGATGTGGCCCGGCGATCGGGAGGCTCCCCCGACTGCATCAAACTGATCTGTGGCGGGGGGAGGCTCCCCCGACTGCATCAAACTGATCTGAGCCGCTACAACAGCTCGGCCTGCGAAACAACTCCAAGGTACTCGCCAGTGCTACTTCTCCCGACGAGGGTAAAGCTCTCAAGAAAGAGGAGGCCGATCAGGCCGATCGCTCCAGCAAGCTCTCTAGAATCAGGCAATTGCCTTCCTCTGATTTTCCTTTTATCATTTCTTTTTATTCAGTGGTCTTTTTATTCAGTGGTTAGTTGTTGCAGAACTGCAAATTTTGTTTCCGTTTAGTGATCTTTAGAGGATCTCGACGGTGTTTATTTCTATAAATTTCTGAAATGTAACATATCATTAGGTTTATGATTGCATTCCTAGATGTACGGTAGTTACATAATAGTCCAAGGGTGGTTAAGTTTATATTCTCTGTTCTTGACTAATTTGTCTATCCAAGCTGACTAGTCCTCGTAGAGAGGCTTACCGCGCTATTTTGGAAAAGGGTATCTTTTTTATGAAGGGCTCATGTTTTCTAGGGTAATGTTGATCAGTTGATGGTAGACTTAAAAATGTGGCTTCCTTTTTTTTGCATTTTTTTCCATGTAATTTCAGTCCCATGGACAACAAAAGGAACAAGTTCAATTACTGTGTTAGGTATGCTGATAATTAATTGTGCTTGTAGGGTTTGGTACATATACTTTGGATGATTTCCTGGATGAATTGATTGTTTTCGATTCAAAAGTTTTACTTAAATAAACGCCCGACCTCAATCTTTTTTGAGTGCGTAACTGCGCATATACCCAATGCAGTTTCCTAAAAGAAGCTGCTACAGAAATGTTTATGTTTAGAGGGTTATTATATATATATATATATATATATATATATATATAATTCATGAGATGTTCCATGTTGTATGCTTTTTGCTGATGATATTCTTTTTATTGATAAGACTAGAGAGTGAGTTGAAAGAAAACTTGAATTATGGAGGTTAACGTTAGAGTCTAAATGTTTTCATTTGAGTAGATCTAAAACCAAATACATGGAGTGTAATTTTAGTTGTAATAGATCTAGTGGGGGATTCTGATTTTAGGGAATCTAGTCATTGATAAGTGCACAAGTTTTAAATATATTTGGTCTTTTGTTCAAAGTGATGGTAAAATAGATGAGGATATTATTACTATAATTCAAGTTGGATGGTTGAAGTAGAGGAATGCATCAGTTCTATTGTATGATAGAAAGTACCTCTCAAACTTAAGCAAAAATTCCATACGATGGTGGTGAGACCTACAATGCTTTATGTCACAAAATGTTGGCCATTAAAAGAGAAACATAAACTTAAGTGTTGTAGAGATGAGGATGCTTGGGTAGATGAGTGGCTTTACTCTTAAAGACAAAATGCAAAATGAGTATATACGTGAAAGAGGCGCCTTAGATGGTTTTGACACATAAAACATCTGCCTTTTGATGCCCTGTTAGGAGACTAGATGTATTGGATTTGGCCTATGTTAAGAAAGATAAAGGTAGAAAATATTAGAAATAACCTTTTTTTATTAAATTTAAATGAGAATTTGACTCTTAATAAGACACAATGGAGAAAACGTATGCATGTATTTGACCTCAGATAATGGGATAAAGGCTTGTTGTTGCCATTGTTGGTTAAGAAATGATATTTTTTTAGGTTGCATTAAATGGGCATATGGGTTATATGGCCTATAAGGGGATTTATGGTGAGTATGAAGTATGATAGAAGTGAAATGTGAGTAACCGACCGGATGACTTCTGTGCCAACTTGGCCTGTTTTGGTGACTTTATGTGGAAAGATTGCGATAGTAGAGATGTGCCTCCCTCCCTTTTGTCTTTGTTGAGGGAGGATAGTGATAGAGCTTAGGCTGTTCTTTTGTTTCTTGTATCTTTTATTTGTTGTTTCTTAATGCAAAATGCAACTTTCAAGGGTTATATGACCTATAAGGGGATTTATGGTGAGTACGAAGTATGATAGAAGTGAAATGTGATTATATTTAGCTGATAGACAGGCAATGTGAGTATATTTGGCTTCACAATCTGATGATGTATAATAAGCATATTGTAAAATGAGAAGAGAACTTAGTTATTTTAAATTTGAAGGTATCGAATTATACATTGACCTTTTTTAATTTTGAAGGAAATAATATTTTAGCAAAAATTGTAACGTGATTCCAAGAGAAAATTTGACCTCATTATTTAAAATAATAGTTATAAATTCATATTTTATGAATATAATTAAAAGTCTCATGAGCTTCATAATAATTATTATAAAGCTGTAGGTTCTATAAAGAGGGTAGTGAGTGAATAGAAAATGTATGATTTTTTTATGATTTATATATATGCCCAACATTAAGGAAGAATAATTTTTTTATATAGAAATTAGCTAGGCATGTTATAATAGTTATAGTGTGATTAAGTTAAATGCATTATAATTGAAAATAGTAAGATCTAAGTTAAAGATGAAGACAACAAGGAAAATTGAAAAATATTATTTTGAGAATTTATCAAATAGGAGTTTTAAGTAAAAAAAATTATTTAAAAATAAATATGATGAATAAAAGAATAAAATTTATGATTGATTGCTAAAAAAATTGAAGTAGAGCTATTCCTTAAGAAGATATAAGACAGTGTAAAACTTTTGTCAAAATATGAGATACCTATTGTGATTTATAGATTAAGGAATGATATTTCAATAATTTAGTTTACAAATATTTTAAATTTAGTTTTGAAAACTAATTAGATGATAAAACATTAGAGAAGAAGAATATTGGCACCAAATTTATGACTAAATGATATTGATGCAGTGCCCTTAGGCTTACACATGACAACTCCCATAAAAAGGGGTACGACGGGAAATACTAAAATACACATAAGCAAATAATAAAATGCATGAAAATAAAATACATCGACTCAAAAATATAAAGACTCGATCGTGGCCGTAGATCGATGGCCGCGTCTCTGGTAAACTCTCCAAGAAGATCTGATGTCCCCATCAGATATATTTAAATTTATGATAATTATAGATAAGTTAAACATATCAGTCATATGATGAAATTATGAAATAAATTAATAGAAAATATATTTAGAAAATTCATTTTGGTTATAAAGTGTCAATTTGATTTCATGCTAAAAAGATTCTCTATGAAAATGATTCTTATGTTAAGACAACTAGTAAAGAGTATAATGCTTAAAGATGTAAGCTTAAAGACATTAAGTGTGGGGTTAATTGCTGTATATTTACACTCTGTACTTTTTTTTGAAGCTCAAATCTATATTGGACCAATTGTGTATGATTGAGAGACTAATTTAGGACATTGTGATACTTTGGATCAAAATTGATTATATATGAGCAGATTGGGGACTATTTTGAAGTTTACCCCATAAAGATTAAAACAATGTATTAATGCTTAGAAAATAAATTACTTAAAATTAATAGAACAAAGATAGAGTATGTGATTTGTAATATTAGTTGGTATAATGCTAACAAATATCAAATCAATATTATTAGAATGTAAAATGATACTTAGATGTGAATAAGGATATCAATGAGTACATGCACTTTAGAGTTATGCTTGGTCGCTTAAGATAAAAAAATGCCTCAGGAGTGTTATGCGATAAGAGATATTATGGAAATTTAAAGGTAAAATTTATATAATTAAATTTATTAAAAATTTTATAGAACTCTAGTTGTATAAAGCTGTATTCATATATTATATAGATGTGAGTGATGGGCAGTAAAAGAAATCATGATGATTAGTATTTTTTAAAGCACGTTTTAATAGTGAAATGATGCCAAGGGAAGCTTGCTTGTGAAATGCATGCTCGCAGCAAAGTTCACGCATTGTGCCATGTCTCCATTGCACATTATAGAATTATGTGCTCAAGATTAAATTATTACAGGATCCTAATTCAATAATTAATAAGAGTACACATTTAGATATTTTGGGTCTATTGTTTAGAGTGATGGTGAAATAGATGAGGATATTATTAGTAAAATTTAAGTTACTAAAAAATGCTTCTCAATGTCTCATGTTCCTACACTCTTTCGCTTCGCACTATCTTTTGGTCTCTATCTAGTCACTCAATTTCATGATATTCTTGATTGTTAAGTATTCTTTCATCAGTCTATTTACGTTGATCTTTTTGTGCTTTTTTTAAAATATCTTTTTTGTGCTTTGGGATTTTTGGAAATTACTGTTATATAACATTTCATCATATTTGTTGAAAATTATTACCTGATGTGATTTAAGTTTGGTTGATTAAATAACTTATTCCATACACATAATATATGTATATATAATGTATAAACATGGATGCTCTAGTCAAGGTTTAAATTTGCACAATTGAGTATTTAGACGTTTTTTGTTTGTGAGGCGAGGCGTAAGCCTCAAAATTCAAATATTTTTTTTTTATTTAAGCCTCAAAATTCAAATATTGTGTAAAGTGAAAATAAAGTTTAAAAGTGATTTTTTATATAATATTCAAATAGTATGTTAAAAGATGAACTTTCTATTCAACAATGAATTAACAAATTAACATACATATAAAATAAAAAATTGCACAAGACATAAAGTGACAAATGCTAAATTACGTGAAATATAATTGAAATCCAAATATTACAGGAGTAAAATAGCATAAAACATAGGAGTTACAAAAAAAAACATATGAAATATTACATAGAATAAAAAATAGAAAACACTGTTGTTGTTAGGTATCAAGTCCTGGATGTGAAAAGTGGAGGGCTGTGTTAGATAGTTGACAACCAGCGTAAAACTTATCAAATAATCATAACTTGACGCAGAATGTTGGCCATTAAAAGAGAAACATAATATTAAGTTAAGTGTTGCAAAAATGAGGATGCTTAGGTGGATGAGTGGCTTTACTCTTAGAGACAAGATTCAAAAAGAGCATATACGTGAAAAGGTTGGAGTAGCTCCAGTGGTAGATAAGATTAGAGAGAGTCGCCTTAGATGGTTTGCTCACATAAAATGGAGACCTTCTGATGACCTGGTTAGGAAACTAGATGTATTAGATTTGGTTTATGTTAAGAAAGGTAGAGGAAGACCTAAAAAGACTTGGTTAGAAAATATTAGAAATGACATTTCTTTATTAGATTTAAATGCGAATTTGACTCTTAATATGACACAACGGAGAAAAAGGATTTATGTAGTCTACCCCACATAATGGAATAAAGGCTTGTTGTTGTTGTTGATGATGTAGTTCTCTACTCATCCAAATTTATTTCAAAAGAAAGTTGTAATAGTTGGCATCAAAAATCATATGCATTGTCATTACTAAGGGGGTTTTCATTTGAGTCGTCATGGTAATAAATTGCTCTCTCCCTTGTCTCATCATATGGAGTTCAATGCATCACAAGCTTCTCCTTCTTTATTTATTTCAATCATCTTCTTTTTTCATAGATATTTTTCATCAACATAAAAATGAGAGTAATACTCCTAGATTTTTAGGTGGTGCGCGCGGCTTCCAATTGATTCTTGATGACAACTATGATAATAGTGGCTGTTGTGATGGCAGTGGGCTAGAGGTTGTGGCAGTTGAGTGGAAGTTGCTGAGCCTTGGGGGTGCATGAAGGCCTGATTTGTTCGGGGTTTTAGTTTAACATTTATGTAAGTTTAATATATATATATATATATATATATATAGGATGAGGTGTAAGCCTCACACCAGCTCGGTGCCTCAACCAAACGGAGGCATATGTCTCATAAAAAAAGTTTGAAGCATAAACCTCAAGGCATTTTTCGCTGGAATTATGTTGAGGTGGGCCTCATGTTGTGCAATTTTAAATAATGATTATAGTTTATAAATGCATTGCTTTACTTTGCACATTGAAAAAAAAAGAAAACTTAAGCATTGCATTTTTCTTAACGCCTTAAAAACATTATTGATAACTAAGTTGAGCATGATTGGAACAAGTGTTTAGATGGATGTGTAACAAAAGTAGAAAGGATAATTTGAGAAGGGTTCTATTAGAGAATGATTAGAGTTAACATCTATTGAAGCTACTTGAAAATGGATTTAAATAGTTGAATATGTACAACAAATATTAGAAAATGTGGTAATTAGACATATATATTATATAAGGTTGAAGGATTAGGAAGAAAAAATGATAGATATAAGATATCATGGATATAAGTTTAAAAATATTTGCAAAGACTATGTTAAACATTCTTGCAATACTAAGCTGGAACAATTGAAAATTAGGATTTATTGGGATAAAGCTGCTGCTGATGATGATGACAAAGCATACAAGATCCATGAAGAAACTCCTTTGAAGGTCTGTTAAGATAGAATTCACTGAAGCCCGTTAGGCCGTTACATTTCTGTTAGCTTGTTTTATCAGTCAAAGAAATTACAGAATTGTTCGCTAACTGAAGAAGAATGAGCTTTTCTTCTGTATTTTCCTATGATATTAAGTCTTTCCCTCTGTTTCCTTTAGGGCCTCATCAGTAAATGGCATTTGAATTGGGAAACTTGAAAATGGCTGTGATATTTTGCTGATGGAACCAATATTTTTGAGCAGGGCTGCTGCAGATGCATTGGCTCTGAGGCATGCAGGTGGTTCACTTCCAGTGGAAGATTTTAATCTAGAACTTGAGAATCAAAGTGGCCAGAAAGTGAATTTTGGATCTGAAAATGATCAAAGGTGCATTTCTTCATTTCTTACAAGCTTTAAGTTGCTGTTAGGGCTCCCATTCTATTTTATTTCATGGTCAGGTACTTATTTTTACTATTAAATATTTCCAGGGCTGTGATGATGGGTTTAATGCTCCATGAAAATGCTAAAAGCCTTATAAAAAAGCAGAAGTTTAAAGATGCACTTGATGTTCTCTCCATTGCTGAGGTTCTTGAAATTCTAGTTTCATTGCTTTCTCTATTCTTTTGAAGATTGTCAAGATTTCTGATCTTTTTTAACTAATTTTATATAGCATACTATCCAACTTGCAGGAAGCATTTTCATTATGTGATTCTAAAATTATTGAGGTAGTTCAATTACATAAATATTAAACAAATTAACATTTTGTTATGATGTGTTATTATTATTTTTATTATTATTTTTTACATTGTCCTGATGCCTCCAGATGATTGATAATGTGCCAATACTTCAACTAGACACCGTCTGGTGTTACTTCATATTACGGGACATTTCATGCTTATCAATGGCTGGAACACGTCTTGCTAAGTGTAGAGAAGGGTTTCAACGCTCGCATGGCAGGGATAATAGTCGGTTTAGACTTCTCCAAGCAGGTCGTCCTGCAGAGCTTGCATTGTGAGATTCTTTATTTTTTATTTTTTCTGTGAAATATGAAATATTATCTGGAATCATGTTTTTTCTGTCTAATCATCATATTTTATTTGCATCTGGATGGAATCTGTATTTTTCATTTTGTTTCCTCTACTTTGTTGTGAAGCAGATACGTGAGGCTCGAACTTCTGGAAGGTGTGGTGGCTTTCTATAGTGGCAACCAAGTAGAATCCTACAAAGCCTTGAGTGCCGCGAAGTCTAAATTTGATCAGGTCATGTTTCGTTTGAATCAGCTTTTGTTTGACATTACATTGCTACTGTACTTCTTTTCAAGAACATGCAGTATTACGATTATGTTTTTTACGGGATAGTCACCTATAAAAATTCCTACCCATGCATTCTCCTATGACGTAGCATGGATAGCATACTTTTAGAGCAGCTCTGCCATTGCTGTGCGAGAAGCAACTTCTTTGTTCAAACTACGAGCATAACAAAGCAACCCTAAACAACCTTATTACCTGAAATGAGATATTGACAAAATATTTCTACTCATCTTGTTTTCTACAACAACAATAACAACATCAAGCCTTTATCTCACTACGGAGGTCGGCATAAATTCTTTTTCTTGTGGGTTTTGAGTGGCTGTGCCACTTGATTCTCCCTCGTTTATATTCGAAATTCAATATCTATTAAGAGGCAAAATCATCCCGTTAATAGGGAGTATTAGATCTGCATTTGAGACTTCTTTTATGTGTAAGTCCCTTATAATTAATGACCTCTCTCTTAGTAGAGGACTGTCAGTTAAAGATATTGCTTTAAACTATTTGATGTGTAGACAGTCCTCTGTGCATATGATATGTGTTTGTGGAGAGATTATTCTATGCGGACACCGAACCATCCGGAGGCAAGTCATAGCGCGTCACGTCACTTGGTACATAATGGTACACAACAAAAGGGTGACATGTCGCCCTCTGATTCGGCTCCGAACGTCGTCCAGTGTACGCACAAAAAAATTTTTCGTGTCTGTGACCATTAAGAATGGGGGGAATAATTATGGGGCTGGTGTCCTGTCAATATCCATTGAATTCATTGTCTAGGATGGAGATAGAGAGGAAGGGAGGGAGGGAGGTACGGGCCATTTTTAATTTTAATTTTCATTTTTAGATTATATAGCTGTCGAATAAATTTGTCAATTAAATATTTTTTATAAGATTAATTAAATGATTAATTTTTGGTCAATTGGGAAACCTTAACTTGATAATTTGTTCCTTCTATGCGTTAAACAACACTTAAGTGGCTTAGTATTTAATTAACTAGGCATCAAGCTACTTTAATGCCGACAATGCATTTCTGTAACTTCAAACTAATTCTATTGCTCACTTTGAAATTAAAGAAAAGCTGATCTTCAAACTGAAGTGGGTGAGAATGTTGTGCTGCGATCATTCATTTTTTTGACATTGTTGTTATCTTTTTTCAGCTTCAAGTGCCAGATGAGGCTTTGTCACTACTCATGAGCATGGGTTACAAAGAAAGGGAAGCTAAGAGGGCTTTAAGGATGAATGGTCAGGAAATCCAGAGTTCTGTGGATTTTCTTATTGAGGAGCAAGCAAAGAAAGCCCGCAGACATCAGGAAAACATCCAGCGACAAAATGAGATAATGTATATTGCTAACCCATGTAGGTCATCTTTCGTTCATTTATTATCAATAGATTAATACAAGCATTACTCTATGTATGACAGGGAACAGAAAAGATATGGCATGACAATCAATAGAAGGTCTGTCAACATACGAAGTTTGAATGACTTGGCCTCCATGGGGTGAGACACTGTAGTTAACTGATAAAATTTTTAGAATTCAAACTTTTGTGTACTCTTAATACAACATCAAAACATTAAGTCTTTATCCAACTATGTTGGTTTGGCTACATAATCTTTTTTTTTTTTTTTTCATTGTGTCAGGTTAAAAATTAAATTCTAATTTTAATCTAATAAAGAAAGTTCATTTCAAATATTTTTTAACTAAGATCAAGTCATCAAGTCATTATCCCACTATGTGGGGCTAAATAAGTCTTAATATGTAAAAATATTATGAGCAGAATGTTAAGCTATTTATTTTTTTGGGTTTTACTCATAATAAATTTTTTATTTATCATATTTTCCATTTTTGATTTGTTGATGGAAAATACTATGTATTTTATTAGGACTATCGGTCTAATATTTCCTTGACTTTCTTTCATTGCTCAATTTGGTTTGCATTAAACTTGAGGAATCGAACTTTCCTGTTGGGGACATCGGAGCTTGGAAAGCCTATCAGAGGCGTGGCTGCCGATCTACGGCTATGTTCGTGTTGATGTATTTTTAAGTTGTCATATGTATTTGTCTTTTATTTATTTATGTTTGTATTTGCTTTAGTTGTTTTCCCCTTTTACCCCTTACTTGAGGATGGTCATGTTGTCGTCTTTTATTTTGAGTCTTTTGTATGAGGCTATATATAGCCCTTATGTTCTTTTTTCATGGGATGAATGATTATGAAAGAAATTCTTGCATCCTTATGTTGTGTGAGAGCTTGAGAGCTATGGAGAAGAAACCCTAGGAGAGGGAAGCGGATCACCCACCAACCTTGAAAGCGTCCGGTTTCGTGGCTCTTTATTTTCTATCTTTTCCTCTCCTCCACTTCATCACCGCCGACCCTTAGCCCCTTCCTCACCCACGGCCGAAACCTCACCCGAGCCCCTTAACTGCCGGCCCCTCTCTTCCCCTCCCCTTTCCCCACTGACAACCCCACCCCACCACAATACTGCCGGCCCTCCCTTCCGCCACCAAGCTGCCGCCCCAATTTTCCCTCTCCAAAGATGTCCCCAAAACCCCACTTTCCTTATTTAACTCAACCTAATTTTGGAAAGAATTTGAATTTGAAATAAATCAAATTTAGATTTCAAAATCTTTCCTTTCTCATTAATCCTATTTTTGGAAAGGGTTCCTAATTAAATCAATTAATCAAATCAGGATTGATTGATTAATTAAAGCTTTAAATCCAAATACATTGAATCTAAACACTCGCCCTCTCTTTCTCTCTTGACCGAAATCCCTCCCATGCCCCAGCTATTTAATTTCTTTCCAAAAGAAAGTTTCTCCCATTGGAATTAAATCAAACTCCTCTCCCTCTCTCTTGCCTGCCTCCCCCTCTTTTTCCCCCTCATTAATTCTTCTCAATCAAGGGGATAAACTAAGGAAATATTTGACTTAAATCCCCTCCCCAAATCTGAACCTATTTTCTCTCCTCCTCTCTTCTTCAAAATCTGAACCTAAGTCATGCTCCCCACCCATCATACCCTTGGCCGGTCACATCTTTCCCTCTTCCCCATTTGATTTCTCAAAACAATCTCATTCCTCTCAAGAGGCGTCTTTAAGGGAAGCAACGTTCAACGTCTTCAAACCTTTCAACCCTTCGGAAACCATGAATGGTCGATCCTGAACTTGATTATGGAATCGCCTGTGACGAGGAAGAGAACGTCAACATTCTCCAATCCACCTTCTTCGACTTCAACCCAAAGATTGATAACTCCATAGAAGAATACGTGGACCGCATCATCTTCACACTTTCTGAAGCCGTCGAAGAACAACTTGCCAACGTTCAGTGGCAAATTTTTTCTGGACCTCGACAAGGGTTAACTCATTCCCCTATTCATTTATCTTCCTAATCCGCTAACCCTATAGGGGGTGATTTAATCTCAAGGTCTCTTGCTTCGCTTCTGCCTTCACTTAGTAAACGTAGGTAGACCTGTCAATATTGGACCCGACCCGAAAACCCGACCCGAACCCGACCCGGAATTTTCGGGTTTGGGTTGACCCGAACCCGAAGCGGGTCGGGTTCGGGTCCAGAAAATCGACCCGTTTGCAAAAACGGGTCGGGTCGACCCGAACCCGAATAGTGCCGGGTCAGTTTCGGGTTCGACCCGAACCCGACCCGTAACCCGAAATTGACAGGTCTAAACGTAGGATTTGAGTTTACTTTCTATGTTGCTTATTTTAATGTTAGATTAGGGATTTTATTGAATAGCTACTTGATTTACATCTTGTTGGATTTCTAAATTAATTTAGTGTTTCATGTTCCTAGCTTGCGATTTGGCCTAAGCGTGGTTACCCCTCATTCGTTTTCTATCGTCATTTAGGGCTAATCGTTTTAATTATTATTTGCTCTTATCTAAGACGTGCAATTTCTTATCGCATTAAACTAAAGCATACTTAGTTCCTGCATCATTTCCCATCCCGCATATAGCCTATTTTTTATTGTAATTCCTTATGTCTTGTCTCTTTGCTGGTTCTTTCAAGCCTTAAGTTTTTATTTTCTCTTTAGCATATCTATGCTGTGTTCTATTAATATAATAGTGTCATTAAATTACCTAATGCGAAAATCAATTTAATTGTACTAATCCAATAAACTATGCATGAATCCTATTACATTTGAAATAAATGATCAGGTTGTATTTTCATGGTCGTGTGCTTAAACCTATTTTTATTCCTATATATTAAATCTAGGGAAGACCATCAAAGGGTGAACCGGTGGAAAGTGTTAGCCAAACTGACCCAGAACTGTTTGTGGAGCTATTTTCCTAGTTTAGTAAAACGGTACAAGGTGCATAAAGTTCTTTGTTTGCATATCAAATATCTAAAAATTTGAAGGGGCGCATTCATTTACGGGACCTTTTGTCATTGATATATATCAAAAACTTTTGTTATCAATAGAAAGCAGCAGTAACGGAGCACTGTTTCTACATCCTTGCTCCAGTCACAGTACAGATATCTAATTATGTGCTTTTAAGTTTACCATATGTTTTTCTCCAATACTTTAGTAGGAAATCTGCCATAGTATTTTTCATGCTAATACTTCTCCATTTGCAGGTTTGAGAGGTACCTGGCTGCTGAAGCTCTTCGTGTGAATGACAACGACACCCAAAAAGCGTTAGATCTCTTGACTGATCCCGAGAAAAACTGTGCTCTTCAGGTATCAAAGGCAATGCACTAATAATGTAGTTGAGGTGGTTTGGAAGGCATCAACTAATTATTTTCCGGTTTTTTTTTTAATTCAAAGCAAAAAATTGATTCAAAGAAGCGGAGTAGGCAGCAGAGACAGGCAGCAGGTAGTGAAATTGTTCTATGTTCTCTAAGCTTTCAAATATTTAGGATAAATCTAATGATGATGATAAGGATGAATTTCTGTCGTCATTGTTAGATTACATTGTGTTGACCCTCCTTTGCCCCATTTTCTTTAGATAAATATTTTGTTTTAGAAATTAATGGAATTTATTAGACTTTATTAATAGTTGAATCTAATTAGAAATCAACATGGGTTTGGAAGTTCCCAAACCTTTCAATTATAGTTGTTTTGTTCTCACAGTAAAAATGAGTGAAACTCACATCATCATTTCCAAAAAAATATATATTTTTTATCAACAAACAACCAACGAAATAGGCCCTTACATGAGATCATAAACTAAGATTCCTAGATGCTGTAATCTTATATGGAAAAAAAGTGTCATGAGATCTTGATGTATATTCAAGATTATCATATATAACATGACTCATTATGAAATTTAGATAGTTTTAAAGTCCATCTTGATGCATTTTATATTATAATATCCTGACAAATTTTTATTTTTTTCATGTACTTAAGCTATGAGCTGAACATTACTTGTTTGTTATGCATTACAGTGGCGAGAGCTCCAATACAAACTGTAGATCCAAGTGATAATTCTGCATCCATTACAGTGGCGAGAGATCCAATACAAACTGGAGATTCAGGTGATAATTCTGCAACAGCAAGTAGCATGCTAGACTTCGAAAGTGGAAGCCATGAATTGGATAGCCAGGACTCGGCAGGGTCACCCAACGAAGATAGGGATGAAGAGATGGAGGATGTGCTTGCGAAGGGACTGACTGGAGATGCATATGCAGACTATGATCTTGATGTTTCCAAGGAAGGGGAGGCCATAGCTGAGTACTTGGCCTTGCTGGAATCTGCTACAGGCATGAAGACTGTCTCCTCGTAAGCTTAATTCAGATATAAAAGCGAGAAACTAGTGATGCTGAAGATTTCCCTATCTATACTACATGTATATGTATATAATCTTATTTAAAGACAGTATATTTCGAAAAAGAGTAGCGGATATGAAATGGCTGTGGATCTGTTATATATTAAGGTTTTATTTGGGACAATTTTTTATTGCTTTTTAATTGAAATATTTTTAAGTTAAAAATTTTTATATTAACAAATTACTTTAGAAAGCATTAAGAAAGCCGTCCCAAACAAAACTCAAGGCTTTGTTTGGATGGCTTTCTTCCTACTTAAAGCGGAGTTTTAATACAAAAATTAAATTTTTTTAACCAGAAAGCCGTTTTAAGTAGTAAGAAAGCTGTGCCAGGGCTCTGCCCCAAAATATCCCCAAAATTTGGGATGGATTTTGTACTGCTTTCTAAAATGGAATTTTAATTAAAAAATTTGTATTAAAACTCTGTTTTAGAAAGCAATAAAAAAGCCGTCCCAAATAAAGCCTAAGTCTTTGTTTGAAACAATTTTTCATTGCTTTCTAAATTATTTTTTTTTCTCCAAAAAACTATGTACAAAAATTGTTTTAAGTTGCCATAAATGAAATTTAAGATTGCAGCATTAATAGATGGGTATATAGTAAAAAACAGACCTACATAATCTAAAATCAAGGAAGAGACCGATTCTTAAGTAAATGAATCTACATGGTAGATCTAGAACAAGTATAGAGTTTAGAACCTTTATGATATAAGTAATGGTCTAGAGAAATAGAGCATATGGATAATTTGAATATCTGTGTTAAACTATATTATTAGTCATATAATACATATGTGGATCAAGATTACCACTAATTTATCAAATTTTAAACAACTAAAAAAATTAATTTAATTAAAATATAATGTTAAATATTATAAATTAAGTAAATGTATCCCATTAAACATGAATGAATATAAATTATCTATCCTTAAACAAAGATAGTAAATTCTATGCAATCTAAAGTAGGTCATTTCATGATAAATGAATTAGCAATGTTTAATGCAAATGTAGACAACTTGTTTGCATCTTCTCAAGCAGACATAAAGCTACTGTACTTTTCATTAGAAGTTGTTGTAAAGCTAATTTTAGAAAAATTCATTATGATTGATTAATAATTTGATTAAAGCTATATATATATATATATATAACTTTTCCAATTAAAATGTACAGTTAAGAAAGCAAAAATATCAATGGGCATCATATACTACAGTGTGTGCTTCCGACCATTCAAGCAGTTAAATATTAATATCAAGTAAAATAGATCTGATGCCTTCCTATGCCAATAAGCATAAAAGCAACCTCATATACTCATAAAAAAATATATAGTTTTTCCAGCCTTAGTAGAATAAAGTGACCACATAATTTATTGCAGCCAAATATTACATTACATTAAGGCTTACGTAGTTTTCTATTATAAAAATTTCTGTTTAAAAAATTTTGTATTAAAAAATTATTTCAGAAAGTAATAAGAAAGTTGTCTCATATGAAGCCTAAGGTTATGTTTCAGAAGGCTTTCTTACTATTGGTACAAAAATTTTATGTAGCAAACAAAGCCTAGCTTATAAAGCTATCTCAAACAAAGCCTAAGGCTTCGTTTGGGACGACTTTCTTACTGCTTCTTAAAGTAACTTTTTAGTTAAAAAATTTTAATTTTTATACATAAAAGTTGCTTTAAGAAGCAATAAAAAAGCCATCCCAAACACAGACTAAATCTATCATGATATAGCCTAAATCTATCATGATGTAATACTATAAAGCAGTTTTAGGGGGGAGGAGTTGAATGTTCACTTACAATCTAATCAAATTTTACCTAATGCAACTTATAATGTTCTCCTTCATAAGGAATTGCTCAATTTTGATAAATTTGATGATACTAATGATGATGTGGATGAACATATTCTTATTATATCTATCAACTCTATGATGAATAATAATCCTATAGATAAGCAAAATCTTTACCTAATCTTTCTCCTAAATTAGTTAATAATGAGAATGATAACGAATCGAATGCTTTTGCTTTAGATGCTTCCTGTTTCATGAGAAATGATGCCTATGAGGAGGGAGAAATTTTTCCTAATTCTTGTGATGTTTCTACTGCTATGGAATCCATGGATTCTGATGTTAACATTGTTACTTGTCTTCACCTGAAGTTAATGGTGTTAACTTTAAGGAACTTAAAGCTCTCAATTATGGCTTCAATCTATGTTATTATTTAGATATTTAGGATATTTGGGTGGAGGTTGATGCAAATATTTTATTACACTTTATTAATGGTAAAGCTTTTGGAAATTCTGAAAAATATTTATCTTATCAGGGGTATTAAATGGACACTTTGTAAGTTCAATTATTGTATTACTCATATTTTTCATGAAGGTAACTGTTGTACTTACTGGCTTGCTAAATTTGGGTGCAAATTAGATAGTTTCCATGATTTCTCGGGCTTGGTTCTACCTCATACTCTAAGGGGGATGACATATCTAGACAAATATGGGTTGAATTATTTGAGGATGTGATGATTCTTTCATTGGCTGATGGTTTTGTTTTTCTTTTGATATTTAAGATCTTTTGTTTTATCCTCTCCTTTTTCATCTACTCCTTTTTATGATGCTTCTTTTTTGTTAGTTTTGGTGGGAATGTTGTTCTGTGATGTTGATGATCATGTGATTTTGAGTAGGAAAAATTTGTATGATTGGATAAATTATGGCAAGTTATTGTGCTTCAATGAAGTTTTGGGTTCGGGTTTGTGGTTCTTTTATATCATTTTTGTGATGTTTGTGGGTTATATTTTTTTTGGACTTTCATGTTTTTTTTTTTGTATTTTGGTTTCGTGAGGGTTACTCACTCTCCGTTTATCCTCCTTTTGAGCCTTCTTGGATGTCCTTTATTTTATTCTATTCTAATGAAAGTTTTGACTGAGTTGAATTTATATATGATTACAAGTGGATTCTACTATGACTGGTATTTTATTTGGCATCTTGCAACCTATTACTACATTTATCAAGGGTTGATCAAATTAATGGGAAAGGAAGCTAGGTTGACTTGGATTAGAAATTCTAGGAAGTGGATCAATCATTTATAATTAATTTTATTCCTGCAGCAAGTCTTATAGTTTTATTTCTTTAGTTTGGGATTTTGGCTAGCTAGTTGGAATGGTTTGGACTGGGAATTTTGATTATTTGATGACCAATCATATTTTGGTTATATTGATGGTTACAGTCAGCAATTTTTTTAGGAATTAGATTTTTGATACTACACTTATGAGCTTTATTCTCTCAATTGGTTCTATTTTAGGTTATCAATTTATTTATCTTATTCCTACTGGTGGGGGTATATTTTGAGTTTTTTCTCCTTTGCACTCAGTGCTTTATCCTGTGCCAGTTTCTATACCATGGTTTGATGTGCTTGTCTGTCCTTGCTATCTAGTTGTGTTTTTGTCAGTCTTTGGTTTCATTTTGGTTATGTAATTTTAGTTGGCCTACTTTTTCCTACTCAAGGTTTCTTTCTCTTGCTTTGGCTCAGTTGCTCTATATCTTTTCTTGTTATACATATAATCTATTTGCTCTGATTTAGTGGGCGCTTTCTTGTTGGATCTCTTAATCCTTCTTGTATCCTTTTTTTTGTTCTTGTTGCATATTATTATGCGATCTGCCCTATATCGGTGTTCATATATGTTACAAGCGGTCCATTTTGCTAATGCAGATTTAGCTCATGAGCATTTTTTATATCTATGTTGTGCTCTTTTTTAGGTGATGGCTCCTGGTCTGCCATAGTTTTTTTTACTAAGTTTTTTGTGGATTGTAATTAGAAAGCAATTTATGACTCTTAGGTTTATTGTTTTGCTATTGATTATATTGATTTTAGCATTGACGAGTTATTTATTCTTCTTGAGGACTTATAATTTTATTGATGTTACATGATTTGGAATAGAACCCCCAATTCTTGCAGGCCTAATCAACCTTTATAACATGCTTTTTGGAAAGCATAGGTGGAATCCAATGTATGTTACTAAGGATAAATAAATTTCTAAGGACAAGACAACCTTATTGTGCCCTATTGTTGTTGTAGTCTTGGGCATTATGTAGGTTCCTCATTCATTATGATTTAAATCAACTTCTTTCTCTTATAAGTGTTTGTTCAGTAGGTGAGATCTTCCTACATCTGAATCATCTTTAGGATTTGACTCACTTGAGAAATTAGCAATGTATAACTTTAAGGAAGGAGGGATGCTCATGGAAAGCACTAGTAAGAGGGGGAGGTGAGAAGAAATTCGATTCACTGATGAGTAAGGTGAAGGTCATTGAGGTTAGTCTCTCTATAGCCTCAAGATTGATGGAATTTGTGACCCTACACACCTGCTAAAGAGGTGAATGTGTTGGTAAGTATGGCATTTTTGATCATTTAGCATCTTCTTAAGTTGTCGACTACAAAGATGCTTGCTGCTGAGTTCTCAACTTCAAGGAGCTTAGGGAGGGTTTTATTATCCTCTAATTCTAATGACACCCCCTAAATATCAAGCTACTGAGGAAAGCTCCAATTCATTAATTAATGGAAGTAGTTATTATTGAGTAGGTGGCCTCTATAAAAGTTATAACATCTCTTACGATGGTCAGGTTTGATACCATCCATAGGGAAGGTAAGAAGAATTACTTACAAGTTTTTGAGAGAGTATTATCTCACGGCTAAGCTTGATTATCTAGCAATGAGGCAAAGTTGTACCTTTCCTCTAACAAAAAATTAGGACACCTATTGAGTGAGTTGGAGGCATTATCTTTAACATAATCAACACCTAGCTTGTACAAAAAGATGATGATCCTCCATGATAGATTACCAGCCGTGCTTTCAAGGTTTTTGGATAAAGAGATTTTCTTTGTTGATCCATCATTGCTAGCCACAAAAGAGACCCATAGTAGCTAGCTCCCCCAAATGGTTAGCACCATCAACAAAAAATGATGAACTTGTGATAATGGAAACTACGAAGTGGTTATCACCATTAAGAACAAAGGCCAAGCTTGTGGTAGAGGCTATAGAGGAAATTGTGGCGTTGTATTCAATCTAA